CAGAAAAAGAGAGACAAAATGAAATTAGGAGCATGGTGATGAAAACTCAAGAAGAGCATTTAGAGTTTGGTAGATTAGAAAGAACCAGACATATTAGGAAAACAAACAGATAAAAAGGAATAAAACTCTAACAAAATAAATTCTTAATTCATCATTGCCTATCTTCTACTGTTCTTTTCTCAGCAGCCTTATATAGCACTAGTTACAACTATTAAGGAAAAGACTAAAATAATAAAATAGGAAGTCAAAATTTCTAATTCCTAATAAACGTAAAAACTCCCTTCATAAGCTAAATAAATTGAAGATACTATATAATAATTAAGAAAATTCATCAATATTAAATTATTCAAAATGAGGATCTTGTTCTACATCGTTAGGATTTCAAATCAATTATCATAATCAGTCTTATGGCAGCTGCAAATTGATGAGTGTAATTTGTCCTTGCAAATAGGAAGTCAAAGATCTTATAAGGCTAAGGGGGTTAGCAAATGGAGACTAAATGGAAGCAAAGTAGCTTGATTTCAGACCACATTGCTGATACTACAAGGCCTGGGCAATCAAAGATCTAATTTAGCCAATAGTTGCTGGGTATGGTTTTACTATTTTCTTCTTTTTCTTCCAAGCGATGGTTGAAACCTCTAAATCATTTTTTCTGAAGTAATCAGCCTTTGATTTTTTTAATCCGAAAATTTGATGCTAAATCATGACTTTGATAAGAATTGCCATAGGGCATAATATCTGAGTTAGTGGTTGTCTACCTACCTAGTGCTTAGGGGTTAAATCTAACTATTGCACTTATTGTTTCTTAGTGGATGTTTGAGATTGCTTATTTTCTTTTAATAAGTAGCTTTAAGGACTTTACTCAAATATTTACATTTGGTAACATAAAAAGTAGGATAATTATTAGGTGCTTAAGAATGACTTTAAGAAGGTAAAAAGTCTGCACCTCATTCCTTATTTTTTAAATTTTTTTTATCTAACAAATTTGCTTAGCTACTTACTCAATATCCACTTAAAATCAACAATATACATACAATAACATTAATTACAAAATAAAAATATTTTCAATGAATAATTTTATTGTCTTTTACGAAAATAAAGTCTGTCTACTTTTAAATAAGAATTATATCTGCTTAGAGTCACTTAAAGGTGCCCTACTGTTTTAAGCACATTTCTTTAAGCAATCTCAAGCATTCTCTCAGACTTTAATTGAGTAACTCGATATCACATTAAATCTACTGAGAAATTCTCTCTAAATATAGCCCCATTCGTTATGAAAGAAATTAAACCTAGTCTAGTTTGAGTATTTAGGCTCTAAGGTAATCCTAGATTAGTTACAGTTAGAAACTCTAATAGAAAATTAAAGAGAGTTTAAACAATAAATAAATTTTTGAACTAGTGGAATCTTAATGTTACTCACACAAATCTAATCTATTTATAGAACCTAAGTAATTAAACCTCCTGTGTGTCATGATTTTTTCCCTGCTTGTTTTTGTTTTTTACTTCTTTTCATTCAGCATGCAGATATCTTATCCTCCTTATATTCTCTCTCTCACCCTGAATAAATCGTTTTTTTCTTTAATAAGATATTACTTTTTTCTGAAATAGAAAAAAAATGTGTGCATGTGCATGTGTATGTATATTTGTGTGAATGTGTGTGTCTACGCATGTATATATTCATTTGTCCAGAGTAAATGACTGTCCAAAACCTACATCATTGCCCAAACACAACATGAACTCAGGAACCCGATCCATATCAGGAGCATATTGATCAAGAATGACAGGCAGCCGCAACAATTGCCCATTTCCGTCAATATAAATTTGGAAATACTCTTCTAGCATCTCAGCCTTTTCCTTGAGAAGTTCTGTATTCATCTAAAAAAAAGTGGGGTTTAGTAACAGAAGTGACAGAAAGCAGCTAACTAACACATACTTGCTGCAAAACTGCACTAAAAGAAACCCATTGTGTGCTCAAAGACAGCTTTGCTTTAAGCCACCAATAGACAAATATGTATATCAACAAATAAAAAGTTGTGATTGTTAGGCATTTTGAGCTTTGAAAGAATCACTCAAATTTTGTAAAATTTTGTTAGCAAGCTCTTGTTGTGGAGTTATTTCTTATAAACAACCTAATGAAAAATCTCAAAATTAAGAAAGTTCTGTTGGAGCAAGTTCATAGTAGTTCCAGTCATCACTAGTCGGTAACGCGAAAGTGTTTTCTCCGAAGACCACCAAAGGCATGCAATTGTGTAAAGAACCAAGACAAAATATTAAAAAAGAGAAAAATAAAGTAATAAAGCAATCTAAAGAATACAAGTTACCTCAGCAATTTTCTCTTTTAAGTCATCATTCTCATTGTTTCCTGGATCTAAATCCTCCTCTTTCAGGGCTAACTGTATCAGTTCTTGGACAGGAGCTGGATCACTTAGTTGTATAGCATTGAAATGATTGAAGCGCCTGAGAACCTGTTGATACATAAGCTCTTTGCTGCATAAATGCACAGAGAAAGAAATTTTAACAATGTAACTAGTCATATGAGCAAGGGAAGATAACTAGATGTTGCTAGGTTAGGACTCTCCCCTCCATCTCTTCTATATTACCATTCACTAGGCAAAGGTGGTCTTAAAGAAAGAGACTAGCTCAAAATATATGCTTTCTGATTTTTGAAGAAAGCACTTTAAACCACTACTGATTATTTATTTGTGACCTCAAGATAATTTGATCATATGTGTCTTATATAAGCGTAGAACTCTGTTAAAAACAGTCGCAGAAGTATTACCTTAAGTTTACCACATTAGCAAGATATAGATGGGTGTTATACTGAAGTAGTGCAAAAACATCGTCTGCCATTCCAACATACGTACACTGTCTTACAATGTCCAGCAGACCTAGAGAATATATATCATAAAAAGCAGTCATTAGATCTGCCTAAGGAATGGCCTAATTGAGACCATAAATTCCTTTGTGAAGTTACCAGAATGATAATTTCTATCAATATCATCTATAAGTTCCTGAATACTACTAAGATCTGCAGTTTCTTTCGGATTTCTTCTTTGTCTAATGGAAGACCTGCGTAAATATATTTCCCATAAAACAAACTCAGTGAAATTCAAAAGTTGCAGTCGGTAAAAGGTAAATCATCTCATCATAAATAAATAACAAGCACTAAAAGCTCAAACAATTTCTAAATACATAAGAAGCAAGGAAATATCTAAAGAAGTTCCTTCCAAATTATTTATATAAAATACAATGAGCATAATTAAACTGTGATTCTACCTTACAGCATTTAAACTGGAAGTCCTTCCAAGGTGATTAGTAGCTTTGGTTTGCAAGTAGGCATTCAACCTACCAGCTGGATCTGATGAATCCGTTCTTACCATTTTATGTACTGGGACTTTCTGAGATTTCAGTCCTATTGAAAGAAAACCACAAGAGATATTCAATAAGCTAAACAATGAAACATACACAGACACACACACACACACACACACATGTATATATAACTAATAGATATAATGTGGAGAAGACGACAACCAGAAGAAGCTTTTCCAGATACCAAAGGATTTAGATGTGAATCCTTCCTTACAGTGGAAAGAGCAGTTGAAGAGGGTTCCACAACCTGTCACATCAATAGAACATACAGGCCAACGTCAAGAGCATCGGTCATGAGTTCATGCCTTGTCTTAAGAAAGGATGGAGATAGAGATAGAGATAGAGATAGAGATAGAGATAGAGAAGAGAAGAGGAGGAAACAAGACTTTGAGTAGAGAAATTCTGAATTCAAATTTCTGTGGTTACTCTTTGCCACCAATTACACTATTTATACTAGTACCCCATATTCAGTTACAACTGAAAGGAACAGAAAAGAAAATTACCAAAAACCCCATTACAATTTCTAGTTCCCCATCTTGTCTAAGTTACCATTTTGCGTTTTTCCTTTGGTACTTTTCAGTAGTTTCCTTACAGCCAATAATTTCACTGTTGCACATGGAAAGAAGCATCTAAACCACAGATATATTTCCCACTAGAACTCCATACGTGGTCAGAATAGAATTGGGGCGCGGAGGGAGAAAAAGTTAACATTTTATACAGTAAGTTACAACCAACAACAAAATAGGTCGATATCAAGAACCTTTTGAGATGGCTATCAAAAAATTAATAGACAGCTCCTATAACTTCTCTCAAGTTATATTCCAAATCAAAGTCCACATAGAGCTGATAGATTTGGTCACAGAAAGAAAGACTCAACTCTGCATTTTGGTAGGAAAAAAAATTGGTTTAACTACATAGAAAACTGTCAGTGTTAAAGCAGAGCTTTTATCATCTGAGTTAGGCAAGCATTTTCTTGAAAGAGTGGTGCCTAGGACTGTGTTTCTGTCATTAGATAAGTGGAAACCCTAGTACGCTATCATCTTTTTATCTTTTATCTTCTAAAATATGCTTCCCCATCAAAATGGAAAACAAATTTGGAAGTAAATGATATAGGGAGTGATAGAATAATTTGCAAATTTAGGGAGCAATCCAAAGGTCAAGAGGATTTCCCTCTTGAATAAATCAGAAATTTACTAATAAAATCTTATCTCTCAGTGAATTAAATGGATATTTATAAACCCTACTAATTTACTCCTATTAGTTGTGCAGAAAAGTAAGATACTAAATGAAACTATTTCAGCACTAAAAGATATTTATGTCTTCAGCTAATTAGAAACTACTACGGGATTAAGAATAAGCTTATTATTAATATGTAAAGAGATCATATGTTAAATGCCGCAACTAAATACAACTAAATAATTCTCATAAACTTCAGTTATAGACATAGAAAAACACAAAGTTATATACAGCTTCTTAAGTTGTGACTAATACTAAATGGACCATATATACTGTGGGAGAATGTAGAATAATGTGATGCAAGTTTGTTGAATAATACACCATTATATATACACAACCTTAATTGTGGAAAAGGAAACCCTAAAAAAATAAAGAGGCTATTTTTTTTAAATAAAAAATATAACGTGTATATTAACAATGTACCAAAACGGAGGTAACACCCATTTAACAAAGACTTACAAATGAGTTAAAATATTAATAACATTCTCAAAATCCACATCTCTAATGATGTCATGATCTAACAAAATATAACTAAACTAATGTATCCATTTATTCTTTAATCTATTTAAGCCACGTTCTTTACCCTCAAAATCTCTAACATTTTTCTCTTTCTAAATAATCCAAAAAACAGCCGATGGAATTAAATTAGCTATATTTCTTTTAAAACTCAAACCTTCCCATGCCCATATCTCATCACAAACCAAGCCCGCAACAACCCAATTTACCCCCAGCAAACGGTAAATCATGCATCATAGGCTGTGTGCAATGGGACACCATAATAGAAGGTGATTACAAGATTCCCCTGCATTCAGACACAAATGGCAATGATTCACTATTATTAGTCCCCTCGCTCTAAGTTTGTCCAGAGCAAGAACTTTCCCCCAACATGTCTCCCAAGCGAAAAAGCTACACGTGGGGGAACCATCGTTTTCCATATTTGTTTCCATGGAAAATTCTGAAACCTAGCACCAGCCCTCTCAACCAGAAACTTGTACTATGAACGGAAAGTGAAACATTCTTTCTTCTCCAACCGCCAGCAGATCTGATCAAGTGAATTGTTGACTTGTTGGGACGCCAAAAACTTTAGCATGTCTTCATAATCACACGCCTCCCAGTCATTTAAATTTCTTGACACATTAATTGACCATACAATGTTATCATTGGTCAACTAGAAAGCCTGATCAAGCAACATACTTCTTGCTTTAGCTATGCCGTAAATTCTCGGATATCGTCTCATGAGACAGCCTTCGCCAGTCCAGTCATTGTGCCAAAAACTGATTTTATCTCCTCTCCCCAGTTTCCACCTAATGCACCCTCTGAACCGTGGCCATTGAGCCATTATCTTGTTCCATAGACCACATCCATGAGAAGAAGAATGTCTATTAGCCCCACTGTCCAGCCTTAACCTGCCCCACCGGGAATCCACAATTTTTTGCCATAATCTTCTCTCCTCACTCCAATACCTCCAAAGCCATTTACCATGAAGCGCTTCATTCATTTTCACCAGTGATCTAAGTCCTAAGCCTCCATGCAGTAGCGGATTTTTGATAGTCTCCCAATTTGTCAAGTGAAATTTACACTTCCCATCCTCATCTCCCCCAAAGAAACTGACATTGAATAACTTCCAGAATAAAGAGACTAATTAAATCAGCCTATTATAGGAAAAAAACTGTCTTTACAAGTAGGAAACAAATAATATAATTAATTAGACTTTCCAACACATGCAATTTAAGGAGGATATAACAAGTATTGCTTGGTTCAAGATAAAAAGAAATGAAGTGTCAAAAATGACTTTGTGAGATCTAGATGTAGGCTGAGCAAATCATCCCATACTATCAGTGTCAAACTTAGCTCTAACCACCCTATAAATTATTCATCTCCTTCATGGATTTCCACAGTCATTTCTCTTGTAAGGCTTTATTAATCTTAATCATCAACTTGATACCAAGACCGCCTTATTTGAACGGTTCCTTGACTTACTTCCATGCGACAAGATGAAAGGTAGTTCTATCCCACAACTCCTCATAGGGTGCATATCAGTCTTCAAGAACCTGTGGTTCATCTCAAGCCAAATAATCCATAGACCAGCAAAGATTGCAACTCGCCACAGGGGTTTTGCTTCCTTCCTCATACCTGCTCCATGAGCTCTCGTCACTCTTATTTCTTCTTATATTACATATATATATTATGTATGTTATATATTAAAAAATCACAAGCATGT